ATTTTCTCTAGTAACCTAGTAAAAAAGTAGCTGAAGCAACTATAAATAAATATTCCCCCAGAGTTCCCCGGGTATAGCTCAAGCTGGATTCTTAAATAAAACACTATTTTAGTCACACAATCAGTATGTGATCTAAAACAGAGGGTGGTACTGTATGTAAAATATCCCACAAGTTCAATACTTCAAGCTTTATCCGTTTAAAACAAGATTATTTTCTTTGCTTAGATGTTTTGTCCAAGATTTCTAAGTTCAAGATGTTAAAGTACTTTTTATCATATCCTTTTGTACACTTCCTTACTAATGTCCTCCTGGAGGCAGTTTGCAAGCTGTAATTGGAAGCATGTTTTTCACGTGTTCTTGACCTATCAAGATTGTTGGTGAGATTGTTGAAATCTGCTCTTTATATTTTTTATCAGTGTATTTTTGTAGATAAGATGGCCAGAGATTCCCAGCCAGTATTAGAGAAGGCTGCTACCCATTAAGTTGATAAGTAACATATGATTCATATTACTAAAAAGGCTTTATTGTATGATGGGGTTTCTATTTAGAAAAAGTGAACATGCTTTAAAAAAAATCAAGGCTCTGTCTCTTGCAGAAAAAAACAAACAAACAAAAACAAACTTGAAATTACACACCTGGAATTAAGAAAGTGCCTGAGAAAGCAGGTTTTAGAGAAGAATTAGTCTGCCGTTAGAGTATGTGGGCATGAGTGTGTATATGTATGTGTACATATGGATCTTTGTGTGTGTAGGTAAATCGAACTTCTTAAAACCCGTCCCCCTATTTAATTCAATGCAAAAACACTTCCTTTTCCACCCTGTTCATGTCATAACACATTTCCTTTTCCTCCTGGATTCAGACACTAGACTGGCCCAGCAGAACAAGACAGGTTTTGGGTTTCCTCCAGAGGACTGAGGGTTTCACAATCAATGAACACTTTGCTGATTTTTATTGACCATAAAGTTCCGTTTTACTTTTGTGGCATGTAATTCATGCTAACATCTTGAAGGTTTGTATGGTGATCAAATGATATTATAATAGTGCCCACAGATGCTAATATAGCTTTTAGGGACTCTTTTGATAGCATTTTTTTAAAAATGTCACTTTAGTATGCAAGAATTTCTTGGGTGACATGGCTATGTTTGGAAAAGTATACTAACATACTATTATTTAGCAATATACAATACCGTTCAAAAGTGTGGGGTCGGTAATATTTTTTTATATGTTTTTGAAAGAATGTCATTTATTCTTAAATTTTCAGCAGCCACTATTCCAGTCTTCATTGTCACATGATCCTTTAGAAATGATTCAGTGTGCTAATTTGGTGCTCAAGAAACATTTCTTATTATCAGTGTTGAAGTTTATTCAGTTGTGCTGGTTAATATAGTTACGAAAACCATGATATATGTTTTTCTGGTTATTTTGAATAGAAAGTTAAAAACAGCATTCATTTGTATTACTTTTGTAATATTTTTGAATGTCTGTCACTAAATTACTGTCGCTTTTTATCAATTTAATGCATTATAGTTGATTATAGTAATTATAGTTGAGATTCTTTAACAACAATTAATTATTTGGATTTTTTGACATTTCTACACAGATTTGAATTACAGTGCTAAATTACAATTTCCAAGATTGTAAATGCAAGAGACATTGTATAATACCTAATATTTTACGTGCTATATATATATATATATAACATTTTTTTTAAGTAGGCAGTATACTGTATAGTTTAAGTAGTAAGTATTCCATTCTGAACAGAACCAGTGACACACTAGTGCTCGTATTTATTGTTGGACTCCGTGCAACTCATTAGAGGTCAGCTTTTTAGAAAGAATAAAGTAACATTTGGTTTGCAGAATATGGATCTTGACCAAGTCCTAAGGGAAAACCACTTGCTTTGACCTGTACTATAAATATTGTTAAGAGTTCAGGGAGTCCATGTCGAGTATATATTAAGAATCGCTATTACAAAGCTGCGCAACTGCGCTCACCAGCCATGGCATCACAAAAAGATCTTACTGTTGGACAAAAGGACTTTGAGTTGGTTAACCTGCTGTTTTACCTGCGATTGGGCCTTGTTGTGACAAGGTGAAGGACGTTTAGGGATAGACAATCTGTAGGTCATTACTGCCAAATGAAAGTCTGTGATCTTTGTATAAAACTCTTCTGCTAATGGGTAACCCTGTGTCCAGTGTCATTTCCTTTTGATGTGCAAATGCCGCAATGATCTGGGAGCCGAACTCTCCAAACGTCCTCGACAGGCACTTTTAATTAAGGGCGAGAGAAAGCCTCACTGTAGATTCCCCTCATCCGTTTCACATTTTCTCCACCGAACCACTGTAAAGGAACACTGCAGCCCCTGTCATATCAACTCTGCTTCTAATTTGTAAAAGAAGTCCAGAGGTCTGATTATCATTCAGTCAAAACACATGAGCCGGGGTCAGACCTGTCTAGCGTTGACTCAGTCGTCCACTAAGTAGCCTAATCCACATATAACTAAACCCAGTATGCGAAGCGCAGCGGTAGCCTCAACCAAAGCCATATGTTCCTGAGCGCTACCTATTTCAAACATCTGCACATCTACACATCGCTTTATCCGCGTATAGATGGTGCAAAGCTGCGGGGTCGGTGGTGACCTGCAGAACCTCACTGAGAATCTTTTTTTTTTTTTTTTTTGTGGAGATTATGAAGGTCAGCTAGAAGTTTGGTCGGCAGAAGTGCGGATTTGTTCCTCAGAGGACTTTAGTTCAAAGCTACGTTGGATCTTCAACTGGGCCATTGTGCGCACCTTCACACCTGATTCAAATGACATATTTTTACACAAGCGCAATAATGACTTTGCATGTCCCGCAAAAAAAGCTATCAATGCAGTAACAAGTAAAACAGTGATATCGTGAGATATTATTACAATTTAAAAGAATGGTTTTCTGTGGAAGCCTGTTTCTGCCATGGGAATAAATAAATAAATAAAGGCAATTGTGAGTTTTTTTTTCTTGCAGTTGAAATTGAATATCATAGTTTGTATTATAGACTTCTGAGTCTGTATCTTGCAACTCTGATATAAAAGGACTTTGAGTTGGTTAACCTGCTGTTTTACCTGCGATTGGGCCTTGTTGTGACAAGGTGAAGGACGTTTAGGGATAGACAATCTGTAGGTCATTACTGCCAAATGAAAGTCTGTGATCTTTGTATAAAACTCTTCTGCTAATGGGTAACCCTGTGTCCAGTGTCATTTCCTTTTGATGTGCAAATGCCGCAATGATCTGGGAGCCGAACTCTCCAAACGTCCTCGACAGGCACTTTTAATTAAGGGCGAGAGAAAGCCTCACTGTAGATTCCCCTCATCCGTTTCACATTTTCTCCACCGAACCACTGTAAAGGAACACTGCAGCCCCTGTCATATCAACTCTGCTTCTAATTTGTAAAAGAAGTCCAGAGGTCTGATTATCATTCAGTCAAAACACATGAGCCGGGGTCAGACCTGTCTAGCGTTGACTCAGTCGTCCACTAAGTAGCCTAATCCACATATAACTAAACCCAGTATGCGAAGCGCAGCGGTAGCCTCAACCAAAGCCATATGTTCCTGAGCGCTACCTATTTCAAACATCTGCACATCTACACATCGCTTTATCCGCGTATAGATGGTGCAAAGCTGCGGGGTCGGTGGTGACCTGCAGAACCTCACTGAGAATCTTTTTTTTTTTTTTTTTCTTGCTTTGGGGAG